TGGCTTGGCTCTGAGCCAAGGGCTAACCCACCACAGTCTTATAAACCCCACTTAGTTCTAAATGCTAAAGTGGAAGATGCTACCACAGAATTGCCTAAAATTCTCTTAATAGCTTAGAGACAATAAGGAAACTGAGGAGTACACACGATTTCACCACAATTTAGTCACCTACACTGCTCAGCTGGTTCCCAAATCACTGCAGTTTAGTTTAATTTTAGATATTCTGAGAGTAATTAAAGTGTACTTTAGAACTAGGCCATGTTCATTCACCAGCTCTCAATACAGCCTAGTATCATTAACGAACTGCCACCTCTAGAATAGCTATGGAAAATATCTTCTAGATTCCTCAGTGGAGGCTGCATGATCAAGACCACCATAAGCCAGAGAACTGTCTCCAAGAAGTAATTACGCCCTTTTGTGGAGGTGGGGGGCACAGGGAGTACAGTTTGGCTAGCTTTCATATTCTAATACATAAAAGCTTTTATTAAGCACTTGTTTAATACACTAGTCACAATTAATTCAGTGCTACAGCTTTGCTAATACTTTAGTTACAGAAGATATTCTTATAAGTTACTGTACTTCATTTCTTCACCACATAAGCCATTTCACCCAAAGCATTTTCCATACACAAGAAATCAATACAATTCCCAATGGCCACATACTTGAACACCATACTTCCAAAGTGTACTTAGAATACTCAGCATTGCGTAGCGCCTTTCATCAGAGACCTCAAAGTGCTTTACAAGGGCGAGTATTATCCTCTATGTTTAAAAGAGATATAGCAGTATGGATACCTTACTATGGTGAGGTTTCCTGATTCAGATAGTTCCAAAAACTAGCTGCCAGTCTTCAACAGCTGTGTCACAAACAGCCACGATAAACCATTAAGCTTTCTGATTAGTTATGCAGGTAAAAAAAGCACAGGAGTTTGAAAGATCAACTGTTCTTATTTTACCTTTTAGGCTTTAATTACACTTTTTCAATCACATCTTTAGAGTCTTTAAACTGAATCTGTAGTAGTTTAATAGGAGTAGTGGATTTTACTGTAGGAATGTGTTCTTAAACATGATGAACTGCCCTTGCACTCTACTTCCAAGAGCACTAAGCATCTACATTTTACAGACTGTGAAACAGGAAACAGGAGTGACTTTTGAAGTGGAAAGGTCAGGAACTAAGTGTATTTAGCATTTCAGAGAAAATATTTAAGCTACACCAAACAAAACCGTTCACAATTTCACCTAGTCATAGAAAATACCAGAAAAGAAAACTTGAGAGGAGAACAAGCTTTACACATGGGCAAGAACATAACTTTGCTTTACATTCATACTCTTCAGGTTCTTGTGTTGTGTCCCACCACCAGGATATTCAAGTATACACATTTTATTAAATATTTCCCATAGTAATTAACAGGATCTACGTAACACCAGAAAATGCGATGAGATATAAAATAGCAATGCTTACCGAAGTCAGCTATCTTGGCATTCATGTGTGCATCAAGCAGCACATTTTCAGGCTTCAGATCTCTATGTACTACCATATGCCTGTGACAGTAATCCACGCCAGAAAGTATTTGCTGGAACAGACGCCTACTTTCCTTCTCATCAAGCTAAGACAGACAGGTTTTGAACAATTATGAGACAGTGCAAGATAACTTTTCAGTTATATGAATTAAAGGAAATTTTCCCATGACCTAAAGTTATCATTTATAGCTTTGATGCTTTATGCAAATTATGCAAATTATCAGAACTTGTAGCAGAAAGCTTCATAGGTTACATAATTTTGTTTGTGCCACAGCTCTAAAATTACTAAAACAAAACATACTCACCAACTCACAAAGTCACCGAAATTTCTCAATCATGCTTTTGAAATTGGTTAGGCAGATGTTACACACTCAGTACCGAGCAACCTTCGCACCCACACATTAATTTTGTCTAACTGGAATATCAATGAACTTTGACATTAAATGATAGCATAAGATTTCAGTTGGCAAAAGCTGCTAAGACGCAGCACAGAAGTTATAAATTTTAGATGCTATTTTGCTCCTATTAGCAACTCGCCGCAAACAGCAGACTTAACTGGGCATTTCCTACAAACACGCCCTAATCCATATGAAAGTTTGTTCTAACAACTAAACGAAAGTGTCCTACCTATCTAGATGGTCTGTCAAAAGTGACTTCAGGGCTTTCACAGAAACTGTTCTACTAGCAGAAGAGGCACAATAAGGGCACAATGGTAGCATTACAATAATGAGTAATACTGAAGAAAGTTTTCAGCTACTCCAGCTGGATAAACATCCATCCAGTTTGTAACCAGTAATTGTAAATTAACGTATCAATAGAGAGAAAGATCTGAAACATATTAACATATTAGCATTTTTACTTTCAGAACAAGAAGGAGTCAAAGTATGTTTTAATTGCTAACAGCAAAATTAATCCTGAATACATAAAAATAAACCTTCATTTAACAGGGTGTGACCATTACCCCTGCTCCTGGCCCCTGGTAACACGGGCCAGCATAACTATCACCATTTTATGATGCAAGCAGCCATTCTGTGACCAAGGGAGTCACGTATTCATTATCAGACCCTGAAGGTCCTGTGAACTAAGCCACAAACAAAACAGGTTTCTTTCTCCCCTCCCTACTGGCCTCAATGTTCCTGGGCACCAGGCAGGTTACTCCTTTCCTCACCAGCCTTGAAGGTCCCAGGCAGCCAGCCAGGCAGGTGGTGGTCACGACCCAGCTACAGAACAGGGAAGTGCAACAGCATACAGAGGACTGTCAGTAAAATCAAGCAGTTACAGGTCCTAAATGTGGAACCTGGACCAGAACCTCTGCTGGACAGCGAGACCACTGAACCCTGTGGCCAGGGATGCCTCCACCATCCTCTGCTTCCTCAGAGGACTGAGTGACTCGTATCCTTTCATATGATTTTTGAGTCTAGACTGTAGTTGTTATATTTATACAGCAAACCACGTATTAAGATTTGACCTGATCTGCAGCATGTCTAGATGATTAAAAATCACAAGTTGTATTACAACTTACGTATTATGCTACTTATAAATTGTACTACATCAATTCTGCTTGTATAAGTCCTGTGCCACTCTATTCCTAAATTCTGTTCTACATTAATCATAATACCCTGTTAAGAAATAAAGCTTTAATCACAGCATTCTACCAAGGATCTCCAAAAAGAATCTGTCCCCTCAGTGTCAGGTGACAAGAATGTTGCAAAAGCAGTAACAGAATGGAAGTCATTGATTTGTACAATTGGACAACTTCTTACCCTTCCATTTTTACAGATATAATCAAACAGTTCTCCTCCTGAAACATACTCCATCACCATGAAAATGTCAGTCGGCGTACTGATAACCTGGTACCTGATAAGAGAAGTTATCCGTTAGTTTAGACACTCAGTAAAAGATGCTAGTTATATTTAGTTAAAACCAAAGTCGAGCAAAGAGTCATATAAAAAGTATACTTTAAAATATTTATTAGCCGATCTACAGCTACTGGAATTACAATATTTTTCAGAACCTATTTCCTCTCCTTTCACTACATGATGCAGCACTGCCAAGACTAGCAGGAAATTTGTACTCCCCACCAGGAGTGTCAGTCTCCGTACTTTCAGAGGACTATGCTTAGTTCAAATGATTTCTATGAAACTATCTATAGGGCTGACTCGCAGACACCTTGGTGCAGTGAGGAAGGAATCCAAAAGGAACTTGTTAGTATCTCAAAAATACACACTCTTCAACCTCAACATGCAAAGAACCTGACTTTCCATAAATAGAAAGTATACTTCAAGACTAGAAAAAAATTGCTCTTAATAATCATTAATATTACCTTTCACAAAGAGACCTAAATTTGCTCTAAGAGTACTTCTGACACTCTGGTTACTACATTGTTCATCATTCTACTTCATCTAAGTTTAAAAAAAAAAAACAAACCCTTCTTTTTAATTCAGTGGCCAAACTTCCCACTGAAAATATTTTGATTTTATTTAACATATCCTTACCTAAAAGTTGTTTATTTTTTTCCCCTTACAGCTGTCAGAAGTGACTGATATTTAATGGAAAAACAAAATGAACACTGATAACACTTCAGCCCAAATTGGGATGTTATATTGAGAAGACACGAAGTAGCAGCTGGATGAAAATTAACGTTTCAAGGTACTGCCCTTAAGCACACAAATATCTGAATTCTAATAAATAACTGAATTCACACATATGCTAAAGAACTGCAAAGTTCTTCAAAATGCCGATTCCAAGACAAAGGGGAAAACAGATGTGCTTCAACTTACTGAGACAACTTATTCTTGAACTACATAGACAGCAATGAGTTCAGACTATCCAGGTGAACGTATGTGTACATGTGTATGTGTATTTATTTTAACAGCTTGCTATTAGAGTGTAACATTTTAGTAAGGTCAATACTCTTCTGAGGAAATTATCAACATGAGATCTTCAAAGTTAGTTTTATGTAACATCTTCTAGTCCAAGATGCTTTACCCTTTACCGATTTTCTCTCCACATCACAGAATGTTAGAGATTGGAAGGGACCTCAAAAGATCATCTATTCCAATCCCCCTGCCGGAGCAGGAACACCTAGATCAGATCACACAGGAACACATCCAGACGGGCTTTGAATGTCTCCAGAGAAGGGTTGAAAGTACCTCACGTACTTAAACATCAACAACATTCTGAAGCCATGGCTAAGACTACTGCAGAAAAAGTATTTTAATCCTTTTAATCCAAAAGCCCTGCTTGTCTACAGTCAGCTCATTTTTCTGGTGATGAAAGAGGTGGTAGTGGAATACTTACATACCTTTAATATAAATCAGGTTATTGACCCACACAGAATAGATTACCAGAATGCAAAAAGAGGCAATTTTATATTGCCTCAAGAGATATTCTATTGCTAGAAGTCAAAAACCAGAAGAGGAGATCCTTCAAATGTTTTTATTTAAAGCATGATACAGAAAGAAAATCTGGTTGAGACAGTCTTGCAATTGCATGTACTGCTAAAGCCATGCATGAAATTTTTCATAAATCACAGCAATGTTCCAAAGTAGGTAATGTCTAATTTGTAATATTAAGCTGAAGAAATGTTTACCTCTATCCCAAATATCTTGAGCTGCTACCTAGCAGTTCCCCAATCCAGCTAATAGCATGAGCAGCATGATTCTAAATTAGCAGCAGATCTACGTGCACAAAAGTATCAATTATATCTCAAATGCTATTTACATACAGACATAATTCTTCTGCTTTAGAAATGCAGGCTGACAAACTGAAAAGCTGGGGATCCATCAGCAATTCCATCATCTCCTACATCTTGTCCCTTCTCTCCATATGCAGGAGGAAAACTTCCTCCTTTAACTTCCCGAGAAAGAAATCACCATCTGAAACCTCCTAAGCTGACCTAACAGTTTATCCGCACGAGAAGTACACATTTCTGTTCTACTCCCATGTCCCAGTACACTGAAACCTCCTACCTTGTTTTGGCTACAAGTATGTCCTTTGGACTCATTCATTAACTCTAACGAGCAGCAGTAGCAATTCTGCAGCCAGACAAGTTAGCTCAGTCTTCTGAAAACTAACCCACTGGAGAAGTCAGGGAGTTGATCTTACACAATCCAATTTAGCTTCTGTGTAAGAGCTGTTGCCAAATTAAAGGGAGTGTATACGGATGGCATCTATCAGTGGTGGCATGTCTTCAGACAAGACTCTGCCAATGAAAAAAACTAACACCAGTACCACGATAAAAGACAGTGAAAGTCACACATACTCTGGAGGTGTAGGTTGACTTTATAGGAAAAAAGGTCAAAAAACCATTGACATTTATAATTTATTTCCTCAGACCATGCATAAGGGGCCTACTCTGGGACATAATTAATTGTACTCTGAAATCCACTGATGAACTATTGATCAACTAACCAGTGTAAACCAGCACACTGTAAATACCACAGTTAGACAAGTGGTAGCTATATGGAAGAATATATGGAAGAATTCTGAAATACCAATCACATTTAACGAACTGCACATCCTTAACTCATAAAAATCTCCCAGAGCACCATCTGGAGCATGCATTGGAAAACCACAGATCACTGACCAGCACACCATTAAAACATATTTCAAGTAAAGAAAACACAATTAACTTACTACAGAAATGTCCTTTACAACCTTCTTAATAACTCAGTTTCTAAGCAGAAAAAAAGGTGAAATATAACCAGAAAAAGAAAACAGAAGTAGCAGCTAAAAAACAAAGATGGATGCTATCAGAAGTATCTATCATGCCATGACCATTTATATACCCATCCAAAGAATCTGTAAGGAAAGATTTAATGGAAGCTCTCCAGCCTGTAGAGAATATCAGTTTTGTGAAAATGCACTGCAGAGGACACTGAAAGTGGATGCATACTCGGAAGCTGGTTACTCTCCTGACAAGATAATGCTAGTAGTATTGCCCTTCAAACATGTTTCGGACCAATGAGAGCTAAAGAAAATTACTGCTTAAATATATTTGATTATACCAATCAAAACTTACAGCTTAATTATATGAGGGTGTCTGAAGAGTTTGAGGTTCTGAATCTCCCTGCGGATTTTTCCTACAACATCAAGGCTGCGAATCTTCTGCCGATTCAGGATCTTCACTGCAACTTTATGCCCAGTTAACTCATGTTTGCCAACTGTAAGGAACAAGGAAGTATTTAGTCAGAGTTTTCAATTGCTCCGTAAAGACATTAATTTGCCCATTTTGATCACAGACAAGAAATACAAGTTAAGATGTTAGCATTCCCCATTATCTCTGGGGAGGCTGAAAACCAGATGGCATGACATTTCTTCTGCCCTACTCCAATTTCTCCCACAATTCTATCATTAGAAGATGAATGGGATATGTAAGAAAAACAGTAAACCTAACTCTCAGAAGTCTTGCAGCATGACTACATTTTTGCAGCAAAGAAACTATGGCAAAGAAACAAAACATACCCCAAAACACTGCCATCCTTGCTACAGAGAGACCATTTTCCTTCCCTGTGTAAGTCACTCCAAGCTTTTGGCTCACTTGGTAACCCACTCAGACACCTTCTCCTGCAGCTCTTCTACTTTATCTGCAAGGATTGCTCTTACTAAAGACACCACTGCTATCCTTCCCTCAAGATGCCCGTTTCAGCAATTACCCTGAATTACCAATAAAAGTATCTGATCAGTTTACTTGAAAAATATTTATCTGTCCTTGGAGCAGTCTGACCCTATATAAGCTCCATATTCTGTACAGTAAACACCAGAGCTTTCTTATATAAAATGAGTGGCAAAAGCTATAGGAAATGCACAAAATAAGATCCAGTAGTAACTATGAGAAGCAATGCAAGCATGCAACCTCATACATTCCTCAGTTACTTTCCTACTTCCAGGAGAGTTTAATTTTTCTTTTAACAGTTGAACTCAAAAGTGTGAAATACATACTCCTTGACCATTACCCCTGTTAAATTCCTTAATTTTGCAGAAGCTATTGGAAGTAGCCACAATAAAGTTGCTAAGTATGTTTTTCTTAAATCTAACATTGGATCACACGTAAACCATGGAAGTGGTTGAAGCTTTGAAGGAACCCCATGAATTACATCACCTGTGTTCAAACCTTAAGGAGCAATGAATTATTAATGATAAATGGTAAATGAATAATTATTCAGTTATTAGAAATGCAGCTGTTCCATTTGAATTACAAAGTTTTTGCCTATCAATAATGTGAACTGAAGTCAGAAGTATTTGGAAAAATTCTTTAATCAGTAAGTTAAAAATTAACATTAATTTTGTTCAGTAAGAAACAGCTTCTTAGAAACCGAACAAAAACTGTTTAGACACATGAATTTGCATCTTCCTTTGCTTTACAAAATACATCTAAGAAGGTGTTTAACTTAGTAAGTAGCATACATATTTAAGCTACTCTGCAGCTTAGCATACAAATATTCAGTTCTGACATGCATTGTGTTATACAGTCTCATTTATCAGCCATTTTGTTTCATTTTTGATTTGTCAGTCTACCTTAGATGAAAACTAGAATTTCATTATAACTCAGAAAAACATTAGAAAGTAATTTATTAGCTACAACAATCTAGGTTCAATGTGGAAGGCACACAGGAAAAGAGTATTTGAAAACACATTTTTCATTCAAAGTAATTACACAGTAACATCTGCAGCTGACTGAAACCAATTCTAGCTGTCACAGCCTTCAAGATTGTGTGCCTCAAGCCTTGATTGTCTTAATTGACAGGAAGAAAACAAGATTTTTCTGCTTTTTTCACCTGTTTGCCAACTTTACATTATGAAAACATACTGTAGTTTTCTGCAGGTGAAAAAAGATCCCAAAAAGCCTGTTCAGTTGCTTAAGGCACTTCATACTGAATCACTATTTTCTTCTGTGATTTTTGCCTCCCTTTTTAAATTGAATTTAAGATTATAACAAATACAGCTTTTAAAGATACAAGATTCCAATAACCATCTACTTTATGAAATAGAACTTTTATTGGATGGTTCAGGGAACAGTAAAACAGCAGACACCAACTGGTAACAGACTGCTGACTACCTTTGAATTGGACATAAAGACAGAACTGAAAGAAAGACCTCAGACTACAACGTCACGTAGAGAAGTAAGAAGCCAGTGTTATCTTTCTGAAAGCAACTTTGTATTACCTCTTGACAGAAGTTCTACCTGTAAAAGGGCAGGCTCACAAATTAGAAGCAATCAAAATACATTTGTGTTAGTCACCGTAATCCTCAACTAGCTATCATTCCTTCAAAAGAATCATTGAAAAAAGTTCACTTTACAGACCTAATATTTCCCTGTATTTCTTTATTCTCTGATAGTTCCAACTGCCTTCAAGCTTCACTATGGCTATGCACAGCACCAAGACTTCCAAGACAGCGACAGAATCTCAAAGGAGCAATTACTTCTTTTAACTGTTGAAATTCAGGAGAAAGTCTCTAAACTCAGTTCAGCAAGTCTTCAATTGGAAAAGAAAACTGATTATGAGGCCATCCAGAGTAAATATGACACTCTTATGAAGTACAGGTATCAGTCACAAAGTTTGCAGGAAAAAAAGCTGAACAAGCGTATGTTGCATTTAATTAAACATTTCTGCAATAGGCCAAAATGCCAACCCAAGGCTCAGAGGAAAGAAGTTTTTAAAAGTATAAGCTAAACAAATGCTTTCACTAACATAAAAAAAACCCAACCATGAGTTAATGATGTGAAAAGGCATACTGCTGCACAATGTTAGATAGTAAACTGATCTTCACTGTCCATTTCCAGGTCTCCCATAATTTCCTTGACCAAGACCTATTTAAGTCAGTTTTGCAGTCTATACAGACCATGTTTTTTAACCTAGTTCTATAGACTGGAACAATTATTGTAGATTTACAACCTGAAGTAGTATGCCTCATTTTCTCAGTACAAATCCTTGGAAGCCTGACTACCCTTCCTGTTACGAAAGCTAACTTTATTTTCAAAAATATCTGGAAATTAAAGTTTGCATTTTGTTTCAGCAGTTAAATCTTGCATTTTATTTCATCATGAAACCTCACCATCAGTGCTTTTGTTTTCGTTAAACAAATTTATGAAAAAAAGGATAGATATTTTACATTAAATCCTGATAAAGTTTTGTCCTGATTTCAGCTGAGACACATGTAACTTTCTTCCTAGTAGCCAGCGTGAGGCTATGTTTTGGATTTGTGCTGAGACGGCAGCTGATAACATGCTGGTGTTTATGGTTGCTCCCAGGACAGTCAAGGACTTTTCAGCTTCTCTGCTGTGCCAGTGTCTGCAGGTGCAGGAGAACACAGGAGGGAGGGAGCACAGCCCCAATTACTAGCCTAGGATTCAAACTTAGGTTTAGGATTAAGACCCAAACTGGCCAATAGTCTATTCCAACAAGTATGTGTCTCACATAATTGATGTAGGTTCAGTACTCTCTTCTACCCCACACCTTTTCACTTCTGTGGCACTTTAGCATTGTCTAGATATTGGCTAGAAATAGCTGTCTCCTCCCTGACTGCCCACCTAAGGCACAGTCAACTGAATTAAGTCAGTCAGTAGTTAGTTCCGGCTCATACAACCAGAGGAACAGATTAACTGGCAAAACATCACATCAGTAACAGTTATCCATGAGGGTACAAGGATAAGCAGATGGGTGAATTAATCTGTCAGCTACCTTGACAGCAGGAGACCCTTAATAGTTACTAGTAAAGCATTGGTTTTCCAGTTCAATCTTTCTGGGCTACCACAACTGTTAAAGATCTACTTTCCAGAAGCCATATATATGCCTGACCCCTTACATCACGGGAGCTCAAGGAAAATCCTAACTGAATTAAACAAATTAACACATTTGTCACAGTTCTTCACATTATTGTCAATTGATGAAACCATATAAGAGTCACCACGGAAGGAAAATTATGAGGATTACAGGAAAGCAATCACAGATCTGGTATTAAATGAAGAAAATGTGTACTCAGGTGGAAAACTAGTTCATCATAGATAAAATATGTCCTTTAAGTAGAGTTAAAGCAAAACAAAACTAACACAGTACATCATCTAGAGACAAGAAAAAAAAATTAAAACAATTTGCATCTGGAAACAGAGCATTAGGCCATGAACACTAACACTTGCTTCCAGATCCTAAAGAAATTCCCAAGCCATGTAAGGAAGGTATTCAGTATGCAGAATGATGCTGCATTTCACCACCCTTAAAACAAAAAGTATGTTCATACATGCAAACGTGTACTCTTCACATAAGCAATAGCTACTATGCAGCCTAAAAGAACATCTAACATTAATCAGATAAGGCAGACAGAGGGATATTATGGAAACAGAGCAATAAAAAAACCTGGCATTTTTTTTAATTGTTTCATGATAACTTTATTTCATGAAATATTAAGAGAAATGATGTTCAATAATGTATTAAAATTATAACAGTAGCTTCCCAAATTGACCCATAAAGCCAAGTGCCGCGTCCTGCACTTT